GTGTAGCTGCTGCTTGCGATGGAAGCTGGATTGGGCAGCTCGCCAGGGAAGAGCGTGAGGCTGCAGTCGGCGTGATGATGATCATCGATCGTGGCGCTAGCATCATCGAGCTGGAGCTCCTTGGGGAGAAAGGACCGTCGAAACTCCATGTCACGGACGTGCTTGGGATCCTTGTAGAGCTTGATCTTGAGCGATTCCCGCGCAACTTTGAGCTGCGCGCTTTGCTGCGATGCGTAGACGAAGTTGGTGCGCGCATCGGCGCCGCGCATCGCCCGCGCCGCCAGATCGTATGCCATAGCCGCATCCTCGGCAGTCTCAAACGTGCCCAGCCAGCGCCGCTCCTTCGTCTTTGGATCACGGATCTCCGCCGCGAACTTCCCCCACGGCCGCCTCCTCACGCCCCGGAACTTCTTCACGCCGTGATTCGGCCGCAGCCCAACAGCCGGCGCTTCTAGCAAACGATCCCGCTGCACTTTGGCCGCCTTCTTCTTCATCTCGATCACGATCGCACGCGGGACGCTTTCGTTGGCAGAGAGAAAGACTATAGGGTTCTTCGATCTATTAGAATAGATCTCTCAAGCAAGGATGATTACACCATCGATTCTCCAAATCTAACCGACGTGACACCCGGTACAAAGATCAATGTTTTGCGCCATATGGCCCAAACATCCCCCACGTACACGTATGCATGTCTAGCCCCACGTGATAATAATGCACGTGCAGCCGCTATGTGTTTTTAGCGGGCCAGCTAAATCTAGAGCCCCTAGGCCTGGAGAGGGGCAATGGATCAACCAGCTAGCTATCTTGTCGTAGTTTTCCAGCTAAGTTTAGAAGAAAGAGCGAGCCCATCATTGCTCCGTATGGAAACCGTCATGACATGCGCGACTCATACATACATCCCGAGAAAAAACAATGCACACGTGGGGGCGCGAGCATGTGCTGGGCCAATGGGGGCACGCCTGGTCAGCATATCGTTGGCTAACGCTCGTCGATGTGATCATAGGTGGATGATGTGATAGGCAAACTAGACCTAATCGCGTGCTGGCTAGCAGTAATTGGAGAAGATCTGTTGGGTTGCGGTGCCCGATTTTTTTCTTACTTTGTGGTTAATCGGCGATGTTAAGGCGAATCCAACCAAATCCAATGGCACTTTTATAGCGGTGTTCAAATAGTTTTCTTACCATGGGCCGTTGGGATTAGGGCCGACGTGGCGGTCTCTCAAGGTATACATTGTTTTGGAGGAGTTTATTTATGATCAGGAGAAGATCTTGACATTGGAGCTTTCCTGTCAAAGTTTCTAGGATCTGGTGGATTCTCCCAGCAGCAAACTCTCAAAACTTGTAGGATCTGGCAAATTCGTACGCTGCCACCTCCAAACTTCTCGCTTGTCACGGGGAGATATCGTCGAAACGCATTGGACGTCACACGAGTAGACGAGATTGCTCGCCGCTTTTGCGATGGCCTTGATATCATCCTCCGCCACCACCAGGAAAACGTGTTTTATCGTCCGGGTCGAAGAGAGACGCCGCTTTTCGTAATACCACACCTGCAAGTTGCTACCTTCTTAGCACCAATGCAATGCACGACTGCTGGAAACTCACTCTCGAAAGGAAACCAGTCGTAAGCTCCAGCCTCCAGCTCCTCCACAGAGCCTCCAGGAAACATTCTAGAGAAGAGGTCATAGAACTCGACGTTCCCGGACGGCAAGAAGGCCTTACCAAAGTCATCACCCAAACAAATCCTCTTGACTCCGCTGGGAATTTCGCAGAGCCGACACGCGTGAGACGCTGCACAAAAGACTTCCTTTTTGCTGCCTACCTCTACGACCGGGTGAAACGATTGTACGCGAACTTCCGGATGTTAGTATTACCTATGCATTCTAAGAGCTTGCAATCACACTGGGCCAGTAATCTCAGACTATGGATGATTGAGCACTAGAGCTCCCTTGTAGACATTATAGCCTGGAGGAATCTATCTTGAAGCAATGGTGAGGCCTTTCCAGTCGTCGAAGGTAATTAAGCTATTTTGCTTGCAAGCAGTAGTCTTGCATTGTAGAATCTGACAAGAGGTATGCTACAGTGTACTTGGTGATGGCTACGTGCCATAGGAGCATTGATGCCCAAGTGCAATCCCGTTGCAAAAGTTTCCAGCATCGGTGGAGCTGACTTTACAGACCTAGTGGAGATTTTAATCGAGCTCCCAGGAGCACCACATGGACAGGAACTCTAACGCTGTAAAGCATGTCTACCTCAAGAGCTGCAGAGCTTGAGATTTCTCTCCACCCCGTATCGCTCCGGATATGACAGTATTCCACGAAACGATGCAAATATCGCCCTGGCATCAATCCAGCAGCCGTCGCAGTGAGAGAACATTGCGCATGCGACTGCGACAGTCGCTACAAACTAAGCGCCAACGATCCCGGAATGAATGGCGCGCGGCTGCAATGGAGCATCTTGCAATCCCTCTGGAAAATGCCCGTTCTGGGCATATGCCGAGATGATGATGCTCCGGCTGAAAACATTCTTGCGCCCCAAAGCATCAAAAACTTGCCGCGCTTCCACCACGCTCCGGCATTTCCCATACATCTTGACCACCAAATTCTCCAGTAGGACCACGCCGCCGGCAAAGCCCTTGCAAGATTTGCTCATGAACCACCATCCTGCGCGCCTCAAAAGAAGGCCTGTCCACCCGGACAATTGACCAAGTGGACTGCTCAACGCATGGCAATTTAATATACTGAGCCACCTGAAATGAGATCACGTTAATCAGGGAGAAAAACGATCACAAGTTCCCAGTAGTTTCATAATCCTGCCAGCATTGTTGGTGAGAATAAAATACCCCGACCAAATCTAGAAACAGCAATCAGATTCCTTTGCTAGATCAACTGGACACACGGCTGCGTCCATAGCTCCAGCCTCCAAGCATGCTTCCACCACTTCTCTTCACTCGTTATCTCATGGTGCCACCAGTACCAGCCCTGCACCATATCTTGCATTCTCGAGAGCTACGACCTGCAAAACCAATGAAAAGGAGAAAGAAGTTGGCGTCCATTCGCGAAGAAAGAAAACAAGTAGGAGAAACTTATTTGAAGGGAGGGGCAGGCATCCTAGCGGGTAACACCATCCCCCATCACTACTCTCAGCAATCCCTCGTAAAAGCATCTTCCACTTCGGGAATAGGCAACTCAAACCACTCACATACATAAGATCAAGAATTGTGGGAAAAGAACACCTTACCTCTGGGGAGACAAACAAGTTCCCCACAAGATAGTCACTGTCCGGGCTTTTTAAAGCGTGCCTTATTATTTTCTTCAATTGCGCACGGTCAATTTTTTCCCCATCAATTGGAACTCTGGAAAAGAGAATTCACTCGGTGAAATTAAAATACACAAAAAGAAAACTTACCTGCAAACGAGTCCTTGTCCGACTTCACCCTCACTTCAAGTTTTCCATATGCAAGACATAAACTGGAGTTTTGTGCCCCCGCGAACCGGTTCTTTGGCATCTCCTGTGACGTGTAACAGGCTCCTTGGAAGATTCCATTGTTCGCAACATCGTCATGGAACCAATTTCTTTTTACTCGGAGAACGAGCTTCTGCGGATCAAACTCTTGAAAGCTTCTCAATGGTTCTTTTGTTCTCGGCCAAGATCGCTGAAACCGCACCTTCTGTCCATCACCAAGGTCCGGGGCGTTCTCTGCATTTCTTCATGACATTTTTATAAACTTACATATATTTCTTGAGAACCCTGTAAGCCTGGATCATCCTGTTGAATCAGATTTTCACCTCCCATGTGCTCCGCCACGTTGAGGCTTGCGTGTTCAGTGGTGGTGGAAATAGCAGGGAGAGAGATCTTCTCCCGTTTTGTTCCAGATTCTCGCTCAAAATCGTCCTGGAGATCTAGCACTTGTGCGGTCTTCGTTGCTGTTGGTTGAATGAAGTCGCGAAGGCCAAAAAACAGTGAGGTATGAACCGAATGACCTTTACATTCCTCCCTAAAAAGGCTGTATAGCAAAAAATGTGGCACATAGATATAGAATTGCTTAAGAAACCATTCGTGTTTTACAACTGAGCATCAAAAGCTCACGATCCATCAAACCTGTTGATGGTTTCTTGCTCCCCTTGTTCTCTGCATTTGAACTACTATTAAACTAGCCTTGATCTAAGATAGTTGGTAGAAAACTGTGATGCCTCTAGGCTCCAAGCTCCATATCACAAATTTAGAAGTTTTTTGCTTTAAAACAACATACTTTTTGGTCTAGGGATCATCGTCATCTCTTGGCTATTCTTTAATAGTGTTTATTTCTTCGTTTTTTTTCCATAGTCACATTTTTCTTTAAGTCTTTTTTGTCTAGTCTATTCTTTTTGAAAATTTGTTATTATTTTTGTATGCTATGAGCTTTACTCAAAAAGAAAAAGGTTTTTGAAATCTACATTCAAGCTAATGCAACAACTTAGGGTGTTGATGAAAATCCTATCCCTCAAGGATCAACTTTGTGTTTTTCATGCCCTGAAGTACTATATAGTACATAAAGACAAATTGGCCAACCCAATTTAATGAAGTCACAAAGCTTGAGAATTGCTGCATATGCTTCCTGGCAAAGGTGTTCAAAAGCTTATCAATCAGGTCTTGGATCATAGAAGTCGTTTGATCAAAATGGGAGCAAAGGATATGCCTATATCCACATTTGTTAACATAGCCTCACCCTTGAATACAAATACATGCAGCAGAACATGTCGAGAATAGTCATAGTCAGCAAGGATCAGATAAGAAAGCAATTCAAGCTGCCGAGGAGATCAATATCACAATCAGATCTGGAGAAAAAGGGACAAGTTATTCTGCAAGAGCTAGTGCTTTTGCTATTGGTCTAAATCTAGATGCCATATGAAATTCAAGAGGCAACTTGGTCCAAATCTAGATTCCAAGGGAATGTATATGAAATTCAAGAGGCAACACACTAATGCTGGCAATAAGGCTTTTACTTTTAAACCACAAGAGACCAAGTGCAAAGCTTTCACTTTGAATAATGCAAGGAAAACTTTGGTCCAAAGTGCTGTGCTGGGGCATGCTTTGCCACTAATTTAGCCAGCATGCGATTATGTTACAATGTGGGATTTTGGCCGTTGGGATTAGGGTCGACGTGGCGCAATATTTGACATTGGAGCTTTCCTGTCAAAGTTTCTAGGATCTGGTGGATTCTCCCAGCAGCAAACTCTCAAAACTTGTAGGATCTGGCACATTCGTACGCTGCCACCTCCAAACTTCTCGGTTGTCACGGGGAGATATCATCGAAACGCATTGGACGCCACACGAGTAGACGAGATTGCTGGCCGTTTTTGCAATGGCCTTGATATCATCCTCCGCCACCACCAGGAACACGTGTTTTATCGTCCAGGTCGAAGGCTGTACTGAGAGACGCCGCTCTTCGTCATACCACACCTGCAAGGTGCTGGTGGTTAACCTTCTTAGCACCAATCCAATGCACCAGTGCTGGAAAACTCACCCTCGAAAGGACACCAGTCGTGAGCTCCAGCTCCTCCACAGAGCCTCCGGGGAACATTGTCGAGAAGAGGCTGTAGAACTCGAGCTTCCCGGACTTCGAGAAAGTCTGACCAAAGTCATCACCCAAACAAATCCTCTTGACTCCGCTGGGAATTTCGCGAAGTCGATACCACTCCCAGTGAAGTCCGCGTAGAGCCAGCTCCACTTGCGTAGAGCAATTGTTTCCTAGCTGAAGCATGATATTCGGCCACAGCACCACCCGCTTGAGACAAGCTGCCGAGTCTACCACCACCTTTCGCGTGTCCATGGCCTCAAGTTTTGCTATCCCCGGCGCCACCACCACCACCTTGCTCGTCAGATCTGCTCGGACATGAAGAACAAAGTTTCGCAAGCTCGCAGGAACCTCGAGGATGAAGGCGCTGTGGCGGCCTTCCACGACAAGCTTGATGATTTCGAGCTTTGGGCAGAGCTCCAGAAACTTTTCCAACCCTTTGTGCTGCATCCGCGGTGCCGCCGTGTAGCTCACGCCCATCGCCAGCGTGTGGAGCTTGCTTAAGACAACGCCGCGAGCCTCGGAAGTAAACTCGTCACTTTCCGGTGCCAAGCACCTGATCTTGAGTGATTCGAGGTTGATGCAGCTGGAGATGCGCTCCAAGACTTGGAAGTTCACGGGACCGGCGCCGATGTCCAACTCTCGCAGCGAGCTTGCCATGTTGATCCAGGCGGAGTCTGTTAGCTTGGAAGCTTGCAATGCCTTGTGGACGCTGTGGAGCTTGAGAGTGTGGACCTCTTGGAGACGAGATATCAGCGCGGAGATGGATGCTTGGATGCAGTCGCAGTGCAAGAGCTCTCGCTTGTGCTTGCTGCAGAGCTTTGCTTCTAGCCCAGGAAGCGGCCAGAAGATGTTAAGTCGCTGAAAGCAGCGCCTCGAAGTGTTGCTCCTCCACGACTTACAAACTCCAGACAATGCCAGGAACGGCACCAAGCTCCGCTTGAAGCTCCCGTTGCAGCTCAGCTCGAAGATCTTGTAGAAAATGTCGAGCGGCAGATCTGACCAGCCGTTTCCCCTCCTCACACACGGGGACTCCTGAAGTAACGGTGGGCTTCATTTGAAGAAAAAAAGAGCTTACCATTCAGACAAATGGGCCTAGAGTGGAACAATCCTTGAGTGTTTGGTAGAGGCTGGGCGCCTGTAGCCAGGACGCCGACACGCGTGAGACGCCGCACAAAAGACTTCCGACCGGGTGGAACGATTGTACACGAAGTGCCGGATGTTCGTATTACCCCATCCAGCACCCTACTCTCTTTCAACCCTAAAGAACACATTCGAGCGTGTTTGCAAGGAAGAGCATCCTCTCAGAAACTGCAGATTTGTAGACTGCAAAGTCAATCCACTCCCCGAGCAGAAGGCAAGCTCTTTGATTAGTTTCTATAACAAGGGACATGGACTTTTAGTGTGATTTTTAGGTGGCAGTGTGCTGTGGAGATGGCATTGGAGGATCCGGTTCTTCTCTCAAACTCGATAGACTCGATCTGGGATACACTCCCTTTGTGTTTTCCCGATAGAAGAAAGTATGCAAGTTAGGGATTACAAACAAAGCAATCAGTTTTGTTTCACTCACACAAGAGATTTGTGGTTTGTTGATACATCATGTTTTTATACATTCTAAGAGCTGGCCACCGGCAGACTACAAATGATTGAGCATTACAGCCACCTAGTATCTTGCTTGCAAGCAGAAAATGGAGAAATGTGGAAGTAATAGTAGGCTTGCGTTATAAGATCTGACAAGAGGGATGCTACAGTGTCCTTGGTGATGGCCACGCGCTGTAGGAGCATTGATGCCCAAGTCGCAATCCCGTTGCAAAAGTTTCCATCATCTCCAGCGGAGAGTTGCATTTGACAGACCTAGTGGAGATTTTAATTGAGCTCCCAGGAGCATGGACAGGAAGTCTAATGCTGTCACAGCCCCTTCACTCCTCGGCCAACCGTGCCCACCCCAGTTTTTTCTTAAAGCATGTCTACCTCAAGAGCTGAGATTTCTCTCCACCCCATATCACTCTGCAAAAATCGCCCTGGCATCAATCCACCAGCAGCGAGAGAACATTGCGCAAACTAATGCCTGCAATGGAACCTCGGAGCAGGCCACGAAAACGCTGCTGAAGCTGAAGAAATTGGGCTGCATGCCTTCCAAATCCATGGCCTGGAAGAGTTGCAATGCCTCTCAAAAATGCCCATTCTGGGCATATGCCGAGATCATGATGCTCCAGCTGAAAACATTCTTGCGCAACGCTTCAGCATTTCCCATACATCTCCACCATCAAATTCTCCGGTAGTGCCACGCCGCCAGCAAAGCCCTTGCAAGATTTGCGCATGAACCACCCTCCTGCTCAAAAGTCCACCTGGACAATTTACCAAGTGGACATATAATGAGCCACCTATCAGGGAGAAAGTACCATCGAAAGAAAAAAAATTCTGGAGTTTTGTCCATCACAAGTTCTCAGTAGTTTCATAATCCTGCCAGCATTGTTGATGAGAATCTAGGAAAACAAAATACCTCGACGAAATCTAGAAACAGCAATCAGATTCCTTTGGTAGATTAGCGGCTGCGTCTATAGCTCCAGCCTCCAACCATGCTTCCGCCACTTCTCTTCACTCGTTCTCAGTTCGACTTCACCATTTTTTGTTGCGATGAGTCCTCTCACTTCATGTTTTCCGTATGCCCACATACCCAAGACATAAATTGGAGTTTTGTGGCCCCCGCGAACAGGTTCTTTGGCATCTCCTGTGACGTGTAACAGGCTCCTTGGAAGATTCCATTGTTCGCAGCATCGTCATGGAACCATTTTCTTTTTACTCGGAGAACGAGCTTCTGCGGATCAAACTCTTGAAAGCTTGTCAATCATTCTTTTGTTCTGATCCTCCACATAGAATCCAAGATCGGGCCAAGATCGCTGAAACCGCAACCCGTCTGTCCATTACCAAGGTCCGGGGCGTTCTCTGCATGTCAGAGTAAAACTTATATACCTGCATTCTCATGTTTCTGAGAGTCTTGAGAACCCGTAAGCCTTCAATAAAATTTTAGTATTTGTTGTTAATTTGAGTTGTAATTTTTAATTATTTGTTATTCTAGTAATAAATCTAATCTAGTTACATACATCCTCTTGAATCAGATTTTCACCTCCCATGTGCTCCGAAATGTTGAGGCCTGCGTGTTCAGTGGTGGAAATAGCAATATTCCCCCGTTTGGTTCCATATTCTCGCTCAAAATCATCCTGGAGATCTAGAACTTCTGCGATCTTCGTTGCTGTTGGTTGAAGGAAGTCTCAAAAAAACAATGAAGTATGAATCAGATGACCTTTACATTCCAGTTTTTCTAGAACAGGTGCAGTTTTATTTATGAATTTTGACAAGGGTGTTTTTTTTAGGTTTTTTATATGATCTTTCATAAAGGTATTCTTATGGTTTTTTTGTTGATCATTGTCTTTTTATTTCAGATTTTTTTTTTTGCCTAATTGGCAACCAATTCAATGGGTTCATCGTGTTTTTTTTTACACCTTTAAACTCTCTCTTTTTTTTTTTTTTGTTTATAGTCACAATGAAATTTCTCAAACCTGCATACATCTCCTTCACTGTGAGAACACCCATGGCTATCATCGCCAATTTCTATTGCTTGAGGAGCTCTCACTTCTCTGCATTAGTGGCCGTTGTAGTGAAGTTTTGCAGATTGGTTATCTCCTTAAGTCGTTTGTTTGTATGGCAGAGGTGGCAAATAATCTAATGCGTCATAAATGTCTTGAAGTGGAAGAGTCAAACAGGGAATAAAATAAAGAGAACCAAAAGAACATATTGAAGAAGCTAAGACCACCTTCTTATGCTTGTAGGCCTTAAACGCCTCAGACTTAGCCATGGAGAACTCCCCCATGGTTGTGGCTATGCAAGACTCAGACTTGGCTGTGGAAAACTCTGCCTTCTGCTTGAAGGCCATGGCTGTGAAAACCTGGATTTGCCCATGGAGGACTCTGCTTTATGCTTGAAGACTCTGGCCGTCTAGAACTCAAACTCGCCCATGGAGAACTCTACCTTGACCGTGATGGCTGTGGAGGCTATGCAAGACTTGGACTTGGCTGTGGACAACTCCACATTGGCTACTGAGACTTTTCTTGAGACCATATATTAAAGATCTAAAATTATGAACCTAGCCTGTGCAGGACTCAGACTTGGACTTGGGCCATGCATAATTCTGCCTTCTGTTAAATGGCCCATGGCTGTTGAAGACTCTGCTTGAGACCATATATATTTTAAAAATCTAAAGTTATTACCTAGTCTAGAGATAGTCAATGAGCTATGCTAAATCTGGCAAAAAAGCTTTTAATACCAAAAAAGTATTGAGTGACTACCTAGTACTTATGATTTAAGTTATTTACAGATAGTTAGAAAGCTATATAGTTCATAATCTTTCCCATGAACTTTAAAATCAACATTGCAGCTCAAGGTTTCAAAGTTTCAAAGGTTCTCCTTTGGATTTACCACAACAAAGAGTTTCAACAGTTTTCCAACCTAGATGAGTTCTAAGTCCTTGTTTTATTTCTATCGTTTCTCTAATTGAACCGATAAGTGTTTATCTATTGAAAATGATGTAACAACATCATTATAAGAAGCAATATATTTGCAAATTTGGATCCCATCCAACATCAAGATCCTTATCATGGTTAAGAAAAATTTATAGTGTTGTCTACATTAACAAATAATTAGCAACTCCCAAAATGCATCAAGATCTATATAAACAAACTGGCACACCATATTTCCATGAGTTTAGCAAACTAAAATACTTGAAACAGAGCTCTTTGTTTGGAAAATTAATCAAACGTATTTTATGATAGAGAGGTAGTCAAAGTGTAGCAAACCTCATTGCAATACAAGCACCTTGTGAAATTCTTGGCACAATTAGTATGACAATAACAATAAATCCACCATTTTAACTCTCTGGCAATTGGATAAAGCATATAATGTAGTTGGAATTTCAATTGTATAAAGCATAATTTTGTCGTTCCCTCCAAAAACCAAAGTAAGCATTACTTGCTGATTATGGTTTGAAACATTGGCATCAAATCATATTTGTTGTAACTTCAGCAACGTGTATTACATTTTTTGTTGTTCAATAATAACTCTACATTTCAAACTCAATGGCATCATTTCAGAACTCAACTTCCTCATAAGCTCCAAAAATTGTTGTTCTAGACCCAAATCTTCATTCTCTAAAACCTCACTAAACTCATGCTCTTATGGCTCTCCTACCCTTTGAATTTAAGTCTTCCTAGATGAGCTACGAAGGGAAATCAACTGGAACATCTACATTTTCGCATCATGGACCCTTGTGCTACTAGAAAACTGCTTTACACAAGCATCCAAGAAACACCACATTGAACTCTCTAAATGCTCTTGCTGCTCACTCACTGGCCAAATGGACAAAAAGAAAAAAAAACTTTCACTTGCAACAGCACTAAGAACCAAAATGTGGGAAGGCTGGGCACATCAAGTTTGAGGCTGATAATGGAGCAAGTGATCTTATCATCCAACCAAGAGTCAGGGCCAGGCTGGGAAAAATCCTTACTAAAACGCCAGTTCAGAATTTCATTAAAATTCTTCTATCTTGGGCAGTGTTCTTCCAACGGTGACTCAGTCCAACACAAAGTGTGTAGAGCTTGCTCAAGACAATGCCTGAAGCTTGGTAGTCACATCAAAACTTAACTCTATCCTTGGGAGCTCGAGCTTAGGAATGATTTTGCCAAGCCTTAAATGCAGCTCGAGATTGCCAGTGGCAAACTTGGCCTTAGTCGACAAATTCAAACCAGCCTCAGTAAAACGAAGACTTCACAAAGTTCTTCCCTCTTCTGATTGAGTACTATTCCTTGCGATTCCACTGCTAAGTCCAAGAAGTTTGCAATGGAAATATGCATGATAAGCGCAATATTTGAAAAGCCAGCAAAGCAGAGACCTAACATTTTCTTTTTATTTTGTCGAGTCCTATTCTTATGAAATATCTCTTCCAATTTCTCCAGAATTCTAATGGCCTGGAAGGTAAACGCTACACAATTCTCCATCAATACTCCCCAAGTTTAATTTCTTCTTGCTGCCAAGGTTGTGCTCAAGATAGACACCTGTGACAAGTGCAAAGACGAAATCATCGCTGAGATCTACCACAACGTCTCAGGTACACAGCCTCTCTCTTCTTTTGTGATGATTGATCCTTTACTATTCAGGTATCAAGAAATTGGAAGCGATCGATCCCTTGTATGTCTTCACTGGAGAGTTCAAGGTAGACGATGTCCTCGCAGTCACTGAGAGGAAGAAGATGGAGATCACGGTGTTGGCAATCACGGAAGTTCCCAAGCACCCCAAAGACTGTTTATGCAATTCTCCCTAGTTTATGATCAGTCAATGATGCTGGCGAATGTTCGTTGACTCTAGTCACTTATAGTTCCAGATGGCTATAGACGGACCAGGCTTTCTTAGTTCCCGGCCGCTCCGGAAGAGGTCGTCAAATGAGAGATTTTCAAGGCCCGAAATCGATGATCGCCAGTACAAGAGCTTGCTTCTCAGCAGCAAGCTCCATCCAAGGTAAATTCTAGCTTCTTTCTCGTTCGTCTTTGTGCTTTTCGATGTCGGCTGCTAATGGATGTGGAAGTTGGGCGACCAGATGATATTCCTGGACTGGCGCATTTGTTGGGTGGGTCTTTCCTTGTAATCGTTTTGCCAATGTTTGTTTTGAGCCTCTCTGTAGAACACATGCTCTTCTTTTCCAGCGAGAAATATCCCTTGGAATGAGATTTTGCAAAGTATCTCGTTGCGGTATGATTCTCTGGTTTCATCTCGTGTTTCGTTTCCTATTTTGTTCTTTCAGCATGGTGGACAGACAAATGCATGCACGAGCAATGAAAATACCAACGTTCACTTCGACGTAAATGTTGATCACTTTGCACACAGTTTTTCATCCATCCTTGATGTCCAAAGGTGCAACGTTGAGGGAAATCAATGCAGTGGACTAAGGTGAGTCCTATCTGCAGTGTTGGCCTATAATCTCTTCATCTCTGCGACAATCCACAGACTCTAGAAGCCTTATTCGGGAACCTTGATTGAAGCCATGTATATGCCACTGTTTTTTAATTTTCTTTTGATGCTTTATTTCGTTAAAGTGGGATTTATTCAGTAAAGTGGGACATTAATTAGCATGTGTCCACATGCCATTTCCTAGTACTTAATTAATATTTATTAATATTTCTATCAGTTTTTTAATTTATTTTTTTATATTTCACAATATTATAACACAAAATCATATAAAAAATTTTTAATTTATAAATTATAAAGTTAAAACTTCAATTTTTTATTGTTGTTATAAAAATGGCATGTGGCCACACACCATAAGTGGGATAATGAAAAATCCCACTTTAACGAAATAAAGCATTTTGCAGCTCTTCCTACATCTTAGCTCTCGTGACCATCCTTGGCACAAATTCGGAACTGGTAACATCGTTTTTGTTTTTACCTTTTTGTCGTAAGCCTGGACACGTTGTTGAACAAGGCGAGAGAGAAAGGCATTGATACTAGAGAGGGAGCCATCATTACTCGTAAACCTCATGTGCCTTGCTCTTTATGTGCAAAGTCGCAACATCACAATTCATTCTGTGAGCTTCAATGCCTTTCTACACAGAGAGCCTGGCCGAGCATGGTAAAAGAGATCTTCGGTCTCATTGAAAACAGGAGCTTGCAAAGCCCCATATCTTCCTGGAGAACCCTGCCGCTTAGAACATCTACAAGTAAGTTTGACGTTATGTTAAACAAATCCTACCGTTGTCCAAACGTCGATTATCGTAAAAGCAGTGCCTATCAAGACTCGTCATCACTGAAAGCTTCAGTGGCCAGTGATTCCAGAGTTTCGGGATTACAAAGGTCGGTAAGCCTTCAAGCATGAAAGGAACGTGGAAACTTGAATTACTCTTTTTTCCATCTTGAAATTGAGTTAACGGACATGGGAAATGGTAAGTTAAAGCTTTTTTGTTCTCCTTTGTGTAACTCAAGTGGAAAGTGTCATATCCATCGTTTTCAGCTACATTAAACTTGTGCTTGAGAAACGAGTTGTAATCATGTCATTCAAGGTAGTACGTTTGCAGCTTACAATTTCGTCTGAGATGAATTTTCACTACCAAGAGAAGTACCTGCCATTTAAGTACGTTCCGAATCTTTCTGCAAGAATGTAGGCTAGTAGTATATATATTTGAAATTTTTTTTCTCATCCTTTCTCTTTCTTCAGATGTTTCCTGCTGAGAATTGGGTGCAGCTTTTCGACGTGAATTCAATGCCGAGTTAATTAGACGCGAGCTCGAGCTGCTTACACCTGGGCGAGTCGGGTAACTGGTGCTTGGATGTTTTTATGTGAGCCGCCTTTTTCTCTTTTTTCTCAACAGAGTTTTCCATTCTTCAAAAGCGTTTGAAGACCTGACGACGGAGAGAGAACAATCCGAGACAACTTATTGAAGGTAGGAACATTGTCATTCTGTAACGAGTGCTTCACCCTCCACAATTTGCAGAAATGACAAGAAAGTGTAGATGAACGGCTGCACTTACCGCACCCGAATCCTTATATTCCATCAGATTTTGATGTTCCCACTATTCTATCAAGGATAAATATGTGTAGGATGCTCCACTTGAGCATGCAGAAATTTATTCTTCTAAACCAGTCTACGATGGCGAAGATATGGTTTAAACCTGACCATGCATTCAAGACTCCCAAAGCTTACGTGGCGATGAACTTGAAATGTCCCAACGCAGTTTGCTCTTTGGAGGCAAACACTTTGTTGACTTTGTTTAAGCGCCTCCCCCTTGATGAACTTAACGAATCAGGTAGCGTCTTTGGCAGCCAGATATGCTTTCTTGGCTGAGGGTTCTTCTCTTTTGGCAGCTTACTACGCGGAACTAGGCGGATTTTGGTATTCTGTGACTTTAGTGTCCACTGGATTTGAGGTGACTACACAGGTCAATCTTATATTCGGAATGAAGTTTTGCATTTCTCAGAGGTGGGTGTTGAAGGCTATAATGAGAAGCTGAGTGAACTTTTAGAAGGATAATCACGACAATGGTAAGGTTCCAAGCAAGGAGGATCGGTTTCACGTGATCAAGCTGTTCTTGTTGATACTGGCTATGTTTCCTACAACCAGGAAAAATGTTTCAGAGATCAACAGAACTGCTGCCTTGAGAGTTCGATGAGCCAAGCAAATGATTATTGTCAACTGTTGCTGTCGAATGATAGAAGGCTCGCAAATGAGTACATCGATGCGGTGTCTTCTCTTTACCCGGATGACATGCAAAACATGTTCCAAAGACACTCTCTCGTATCTCTAGCGAGTGTTATGTCAGGTTTGCACTTTATTTTCTTCTCTGGCTTATCTTTTCATTCGTCTCATTGCAAGGAACCTCACATCCAGTGAAGCAAAAGATTTAACTGACATTTTTGAGGAGGTAATATGAAATGCACCATCACTCAAACAAAGTCACTTCTTTCATCGGAATTAATAGAGCAGAGATGTGTCAAACTGGAAGGAAAACTTAAACACTCACTACCTGATTGCTGTTTAACTCAGATGACAAGTCTTGTCAAGAGAGTTTTATCTGACTTTCCCTTGGTTAGATTGGCCTAGAAGAGCCAAGTTTAGATACTGTAATTGGTGTATCTGTCAACTTAATTTTGAAAACTATGTTTCACCAGTTAAGAACCATAGAACAGCTTAGATATTTAATGTCTTTTTAGACATGGTAAGTTATAATTGTCTACAAGGATCCTTAACATTTTATATAGGTGAATGAAAGGTGTCTAAATCTCCATACAATTTAAACACAAGGTAGAGCATCTATTTCGTCATAGTGCATGGATGAATATGAGTGTTTTGCTAAGTGTAAGCTTTTGGAGTGGAGAGTAGAAGCTTTCCTGGAAGGTGTCAAAACAAAACTCAAGAACTTGACAAATGATGAGTTCAAAGTAAATACTTCTTTCTTGCCACAAATGCTTAGACTTGAGGCTCTTCTTGGGCTTAGGAAAACATGAATGCGTTGGTTGGACTCATGCTTGAAAAGCACAAGAATCTGTGGGAAGATGCTGCTTTCTTCTAGATTGCATTTAGCACTTACAAGTTTAATAGACGAGAGACACTGTTGCAAGCTTTTTGTTGTCAGGGATCTCAAAGCAATCACCTGACAAGAAACCATTGCTTAGAAGCCTGGAAGAACACGAAGGAGAAAAAAAGACGTGATGAATTTCCATGTGGCATACATAAAAGTCAGAGCTCAAAAGTGGAAGAAACTGTGCATCGAAGTCTTACACCAAGCCAAGCTTGATCAAACTGTGAAAGCTCCTAAATGTATTCACAACACCTTCCAATTTCAACAATTACAGGCACTATATCCTGCTCTTGGTTCCCATAGCAAGGAAAACCACAACCCATGAATTGGACTATTTCTCTAAACTACAAGAGGTTCTCACAAACAAATCCAAAAGTTATCCAGATGTCGAGTGTGGCTCATTGCTTGCAGACAGTTTGCTCCTTTGTTCCAGCCCGAGCACGATGCATGGCGATGAGCAGCAGCAACAAGAGGAGCAATCTATTGGAAGAGTACAGCCGAAAGAAGAGGTCAGAAGTTCTCTTGGTGCACACCCAGGATGATGTTGTGCTTGTGTATAAGGTGAGTTTGAGCGAAGAAAAATCACTCGAGTTCTTGTTTTCTCTGCGAATTTGCATTGACAGGGAGTGTCGTCCTCGCTGCTCAAAGCCACGGCCTTGGATCTCTCGGACTCGGTGCTGGACGAGGAAAACACCACCATCAAGCACATTGATCGTGTCCGTGCTCCCTACAACCCCTCCAACACTGAATACATATCACAAGAGATGAGTTGGGATGATTTCTTGAAGCTGGCGCAAGAATCGAGTTTGGATTGTGCATGAGAAAAAAAAATGTTTCCAGTGATCTTTGGAAGAAAGAATTTTTTGTGGAGAAAAAGGAGAGTCGCAAGGATAAAAATGTTAGCTATCGGAGCCAGGTTTCGATCCTGGGACCTGTGGGTTATGGGCCCACCACGCTTCCGCTGCGCCACTCCGATTTTCACAACCTTTTGCGCGACCATAACGATGAACCATGAGCTGGAAATAGTGAAGCATGGCCACCTTTGTTATTCTTTCTGATAGAAAACAAAAGTAAACATCATTGAATCGTCCGCTCACTGTCGCTCAAACCAGTTTTAACAGCTTCGAAATGCTCGTCTCGGCATGAAGCACTCGCTCGTGCTCCTGGCGATGGTGGCAGCAGCAGCCACCTCGATCTTCGCACGGTTGAGCTGCGTCGAGGATGAGGAAGAGAGAGCCTCCCTCACTGCTATCAGCGATGCCGCGAGCTTGGGACCTCCACTCTTCTGCTGCCAGTGGGTGCGGATTTTTTGCAGCGTTTCCAGCCAAGGACGGATCAAGTCGCTCGACATAATCGTCTCACCCGGGTTCTTCCCGGAGGCGCGAATCCTCAGGCAAGTCTGTAGCTTCACCAAGTTGCGTAGGCTGAGGCTGACAAAGTATGACGACCGCGACTGGGACGATGAGATCCCGTCCTGTCTTGAAGAGCTGTCCGAGCTAAAGGAGCTCAAGATCGTTGGGAGCACTGACGTTTCCTTCAAAGTCCCGATCATTCCACGGCTGAAGAATCTCGTCCTGGAAGGGGTCCATCTCACCGAAGCAATATTCCACAGCATCTTCAGCAGCCTCAAGGAGCTTCAATATCTAACCATCCAAAGCAATAGCCTGTCCAACACCACCATCCCTGCTTCACTTTGCTCGTTGTCCAGCTTGGTTCACTTGGACTTGTCTTCCAACCAGCATCGAGGAGAGATTCCTCCATGTCTGCCTTTTCTCAGCCGTCTTCAAGAACTTCGACTCTCGGATAATTTACTTCAAGGAAGCATACCGTACCTGGGAAATTTCTCGCAGATGCAACAGCTTGTGCTAGATTTTAACCAGCTGAGCGGCCCATTTCCAGCGTCTCTTTGCAACATCACTGCCACCATTGTCACCCTTGATCTTTCCATGAACCGTTTGAGCTCTCTGCTACCGGACTGCGTGTCCGGCATCCAGAATCTCTTCTTGCGCTACAATCAGCTGACGGGACCACTGCCACCGACCTTGTTCGCTCACAATTCTTCCCACACGATCGAACTCTCTTGGAATCAGTTCACGGGGCCCTTGCCAGAAATCGGTGATGCGATGCCAGAAGGAGTGATGATCTCCAACAACTTCTTGAGTGGGAGTTTAAGTTCACCAAAGTGGCACAGCTTCTGTCATAACATGCGCTTTCTCGACTTGTCCAACAACCAGTTCACCGGATCAATACCAAAGGCATTTGGAAACTGCACAAGAATGGCACGACTCAGCATCGATAACAATGAACTCAGTGGAGAAATACCTTCGACTCTGGGAGCTCTTTCTATGATGGTGGAGTTTACCAGTAGGGACAACCAACTTGTAGGACGTGTTCCCTCCAGTCTTGGAAACTGCTCGTACTTGATGGTCTTGGACTTAGCCAGCAACTCGCTGTCAGGAGAGCTTGGAGAGTGGATTTACCAGCTCAAGTTTTTAAACGTCCTCAGCATCGGCTCGAACAACTTCGTTGGAGATATCCCAGTTGAATTTGGAAACTTTTCTTCGCAGCTCATGGCAATCGATTTGTCAGAGAATAGATTTAGTGGCACCTTACCAGCACAGTTCAGTTTCCCAACCACCGAACAAGGCCCTCTCGCGGGACTTCAGTATGTTGTAAACCTCCGCTTCTATTCCACGCTCCGAGAGAGAAAGCGGCTGTACACTAGTATTCGTTTTGGAGCAGCATACCTTGACATGTCTGGTAATAGCTTCCAAGGTAGTATTCCAGACTCGTTGGGGAACTTTTCCCGGCTATCATATCTCGATCTTTCCCGAAACCAATTCGTTGGACAAGTTCCACATACTCTTGGAAGCCTTCACCTGCTCCAGGCGTTAGATCTATCTAGCAACAGGCTTTCAGGGAGCATACCTCGAGAACTCACAGAGATACCTCAGATGTCATATTTTAACGTGTCATATAACAATCTGACTGGTGCCGTTCCGCAGGGAGCTCAGTTCAACACGTTCACCGAGGATTCATACATTAGTAATCCAGGACTTTGTGACTTCCCTCTGAGCCCTTGTGATCCTAAAACCCACAGTTACATCAACAGCACGGAATTAAGAAATCCAGCAAAAGGAGCTCACCTGGATACGGTCATTATTTTTCTTACTTCGATCTCGTTATGTTCACTGGCGTTTATGGCATTGCTTATATATTATCCCTGCTCACGGACAAAGGAAGAGTCAGATGAGAAAATTCAAACTATGAGCATTATCGAGGGAGAAATTTGGAGTGCAACTCGAGGATTCAACAAAGACAACATCGTAGACAAGGGAGGATGCAGCACGATCTATCGGGGTGTTTTGAGAGACGGGCAGACTGTCGCTGTGAAGGTTTACAAGCATTCAGACCACACAGGCGAGGAGCAGTTTATCGCTGAATACAACAGCCTTAAAGACTTAAGACACAGGAACATCGTGAGAATCATCGAGTGGTGTTCCGAGAGCAAGCTCAAGGCGCTAGTTTTCAAGTTCATGGACAACGGCAGCCTAGAAAAGCAGCTTCACGAGCTTCATGGGTCAAATCTGCCATGGACGGTACGCATGAACGTCGTCCAGGGAGTTGCTAATGCACTGAGCTACTTACACGAGGAGGCAGCAAGCACTGGACCCATAATTCACCGAGACATCAAGCCAGCAAACATCTTCCTGGACCAAAACATGGAAGCACACCTTGGGGACTTTGGGATAGCCACGAATTTACGACTGGAAAGCAGCATGCATTGGGAAAGCAAGCTCAAAGGCTCGATCGGCTATGTGGCACCAGGTACTTTATAGTATAGAGAGGAAAAAAAGGAAGCTGACGCTACTAAAGTATGCAGAGTATGGCTCGGATGGAACAATGACCACCGCGGCAGACGTCTACAGCTATGGAATCGTGATTCTAGAGACGCTTACCAAGATCCGACCGACGAGCGGCACGCTCAAAGGTATTTCGCTGCGGAGCTGGGTGGAATCACACCTGGTCGAAGGTCGGCTGGAAGACGTGCTGGATCCCGTCCTCCGCCAAGATTCGACCGCAGAGAGGAGCATCGACGCCGTGGCCAGGATCGGGCTCGTGTGTAGCCACCCGATCGCCGCGGCGCGACCGCGAATGGGGCAAGTAAGCGCCATTCTCCGCTCTACAATCCCTAATCTTGTTTGCGATAGCCCTGCCTGTGTCTCATAACAAGGTCTTTTGTTTCTACTCCAGTAGTCTAGGAATATTCTAGGAAGTGTTTAGAAAATTGGCCGTTGGAATTAGGGCTTACGTGGACGGGGTAAGGCTATGGCTCCCGCATTGGCGTGCTCTCTCGGCAATGCGCCAGGATCACTAGGTCAGGGTTTTTCTCCCAGGAGGAGCGGCCGATTCGCCGCTACCGCCGCGGCCGACTCGAATCCATCGCTGCATTCTTCTTCTCTGTTCGCGGGGTTTGATTTCGGGACGTCCGGCGCGCGCGTTGTGGTGATCGACAAGGAAGGGGAGATTCTTGCGGAGAGGAAGCGGCAGTATCCAGTAAGGAATTCGATGCTTTGTAGCGGATTTTAGCGTCTCAATGGTTTGGTTAGGCAGGCTGAGAATCCCGCGGCTGCCAGCGCATGGAGGGCGACGCTATTTGCGCTGCTGGAAGAAATTCCGGTGGAATTCCGCGCTCGCGTTGGCTCGATTTGTCTGGATGGGACTTCTGCGACCACGATGATCGTCGACAGGTTTTCTACATTTTTCTTGGTTTTTCCCATGAACTCGTCACGAAGTTTTCCAGAAACACGGGTGAATTGTTGTCCCGTCCAGTTCTATATAACGAGAGCTGTTCCCAGAGTCTACCATTCGTCCACCAGATTGCTCCTGCCAACCACACTGTTCTCACTGGAACTTCCACTCTGTGCAAAATGGTCGCATGGTGGCAGCGAGCCGAGAAAGAGCAAAGGAAGAACGCGATTTTGATGCACCAGGCGGACTGGCTCTTGTATCTTCTCCATGGGCGACTCGGTATTTCCGATTACAACAACGCTCTAAAGGTGTGGAGCTAGCTCTCTTCATGTTTACATTCAACATGTGAATCAATGTAGGTCGGCTTTGATCCCGAAACGGAGGAGTATCCAGATTGGTTACGGAAGCAGGAGTTTGGCGACATGCTGCCGAATGTGATAGAACCTGGGGCTGTTGTAGGGAAAGTCACTTCTGCAATAGCGACTACCTTTGGTAATCTACGTTCCTTATGCCTGTTTTCATTCCCCAAGGACATTTTTCTCTCAGGACTTCCTCCGAGCTGCGTTGTTTGCACGGGGACAACTGATAGTATAGCAGCTTTCTTAGCTGCTCGAGCTACGGAACCTGGCGAGGCAGTAAGTTCAGTTGTTGTTACTTTAGAGGTTTTTTATCTTTGAATTTTCCTTCAGGTAACTTCCCTTGGATCGACACTTGCAGTGAAGCTTATAAGTACCGAGCGAGTTGATGATGCCCGCTATGGAGTGTACAGCCATCGGATTCAGGGCCAATGGCTCGTAGGCGGGGCTTCAAACACGGGAGGCATTGTCCTGCGACAGTATTTTAGCGACAAGGAGTTGGATGTTCTCAGTCACGCTATTAATCCCAACAAACCTTCAGTTCTAGATTATTATCCTCTGCCAAGTACAGGTGAGCGTTTTCCGGTGGCAGATCCCAACCTGGAGCCCAGGTAACACTGCCTCCATTACGCACCGAGGAACGGAATTTTTGTTGCAGGCTAGAACCACGGCCACCTAATGATGTGGAGTTTCTGCATGGATTGCTTGAATCAATTGCTCGCATTGAGGTTTGTGTAATGCTGTGGCCGCTGTCGTCTAACTTTATTGTCTCTGTCAACTTCAGGCTCGAGCATATAAGCTGCTGGGAGACTTGGGAAGTACAAAGCTGAGAGCTGTTTTTACCTCAGGAGGCGGTTCCAAGAATCATGTTTGGGAACGCATAAGGCAGAGGGTTTTGGGAGTTCCAGTATCTGCCTCGCAGCACAGGGAGGCTGCCTACGGAGCTGCTTTGCTAGCGCTCCAAGGGTCTGGATCAATACAGTGATGGGATACATTGCGTTTCTCGAGTTCTAAGTACTGTTTTGCAAGTTATGTTCAGGACACTGCTTCTTGGACCCGGACGAACGTCTGGTAATGGTACGTTCATTAATAGCTAGCTGGTTGACACGGCCGAATGACTTCGTGTGTTTGTAGGAGGGATGTTACATGCACGAACAGCAAAGTGTGATTTTAATTTTCAACCGTACCACGTGCTCGTTCAGCAAGTTTGGTTGTCGAGAGTAATTCTTGCAGGCATCGCAAATCTTTTGCACCTGGGACTGACAGATTCAAATGTGCAAGTTTCCGAAGTATTTTGCTAGAGGTACTTTCGGCTGCAGTAAACTCAGTTGCTTTCGGTACTAAACTTTAAACTGTGTAAAAGCTAACAGAACTCTTGTGAGCTGCTTGAACGGGGGAGGGTCTATTTTCACGCGCTCGCTCTCAGATGCGTGCTGTATTCTTTTCTTTTACTATGCGCCTGCTATGACAATATTGGTAATTTTTTCCATTTCCGTGTCTGTGACTCAAATTATTGAAGCTCGTGTAACTTTTGAATGGACGATTTCAGCTGGACGCCTCTTCAACAATAAGAGATGGCTGATTTAACAGGAAGTCGGCAGCAGAGCATGCATCAACGATGAATAGATTGAAGCGTTCCTTGAACGCCTCGACCTGCTGTTCTTTCGATTTGAAGCGGTCGCAGAATCTTTTCATGTTTATTATTATATGGCCTTCGCTCATCATCCGGCCCAGAAGAGATTATTCTCGGCGTGCGTCGTCAGCATTGTCAACCACGATCGAAGGTCCAAAAAATTGTGGATTTTCCCTTACCCCATGCATGTTAAAAGAAAGCCGTGTTTGTTTTTGTAGGGAGGCTTGGCTGGTTGTGTGCGGCTTCAAAGTACAAGAACAAACACAATCCAACAGTTTTTTGTCCAGTGCAGTAGCCAAGACAGAAAAAAACAGGGGAAGAGCTTCTGGAGAGAAAGAGAAATCAAATGCTCGAGAGCAGGAGGAGCTCTATCCCCGTTGATCGTCGTCTTCGTCTCGATGAACTAGAAGCGAATGTGACGTCTACGTCCGGCCAGAGAGCGTCCAAACGAGACTCCGATTTCCAGGCGAGGGACGACACTAGCAAGAGAGAAAGAATCTTCGCCGAGGTAACTTACTTTCCGTACTGCCATGATCAGGTATCATCTATTTTGGCTCGTCGTCATCCAGCTGCGTGTTCTAACGTCTCTTACGACATGCAGCACACACAGCAGCGATGCAACTTGGGGTGGATTAAAGTAATCATGATTCGTCGCTGGAAGGATTGCGCTGCTTATTTTTCTTTTATAATCTTCATGCCATGAACAGCAAATCCTAAAAACAGTGCAAGGTGACAGAGGGTTAGTGGGCCATTCCTTTTAAGACAGTGACTCGTTTGATTCTTCTCCTCGGTTTTCTTTAATCGTTTCTCACGCTACCATTGTTTCCAACAGGTAAAGTCAAAGAAGAGCTCGGTATGTATGGAGTCTGGAGTTTGGAGTTTCTCGCGGAAGATTTGAACTCTGGCCACTGGATTCTCAGAGCTTCCTGGGCGCGACGACCACCACCAAGGCCATTAAGCATTTAAAAGGTGAGCTCCTCCTGCTTGTCTGTTTCAGAGGAACTGTTAAAACAGTACTAAGCTGGCCAGAAATCTCTGGAGAAGCTTTGCAGGTTCTGGTTTTGTCCAAATGTGGGGAAGGCTCTGCGCGTTTCAGAAAAGAACAAGAGAAGGAAACACCCCCTCTCCAATAATGCTGGCTGCAGCTCGCACTTTTCTTGTGATTTCTCTTCGCCTTCCCCGCTTGCTGGAAGAGAGGGAAGCGAAAGAAAGGCAAGCAAAATACACCTGATCGAATCGCTGCTTGGAAAAGAAGGAAACTTGGTACGGAAGAGATCACAGCCAAGTTGCAGCGAAGAGCTCACGATCATGAGATAGAGATCACGTTGTACGGAAGAGATCAAAGCCAAGTTTTACTCTTTACGAGAGCTCATGATCATGAATTATGAGTGGGGTGATTGGTATCGATCTTTCGTGACAAAGCTGGAGGGAGCTTAGCCGAATACAAACAATGAAACAAAGACATGCTTCTACATACGACAGGGAGAAATGAAAGTGAAGAAAAGAATGTTTGGTGTTTGTTTGTTTGTTGTTTTTATCCCTGTGGAAGAGAACTTGCATACACAAACAATATGCGTAAATAGACATAACAAGGCTGCGTACGCACATACGTAAACGCGAATTTGATATGGATTGAGTTGTTTTCATGGGGTGTGTGTCTGGAGCCCGGTCAGTTTAATCAGCGTGCATGCTGCTTTCTGGTGGGTGGCACTGGCATGCAGCACACAAGGCTAAGCTATCCATCTTGCATGCATGAAAAGATTGGACTCGTACACAAAAGAAGGCTTATTTTATTCCTTGCGAATCTTCTCCTGGCAGCAACAGGTTATCTCTTAAACATTAAACCCAGACTCTAAACTCTGAAGAACTCTCTGGTGTTGCCAATGTTATAGTCTAGCCTGGAACTTTGCTTTGGGACAATGTAATCGAGAACTTTTCTTTGGCAATGGCCCACGCGAGATGTCTTGAATTTCGATGGGGTCCAACTCTCGGCTGTGAAAAAACATGCGTAGCCTTGTCTCACTCTTACCTCCCTGTCGAGTTTGCTGCTCCCCATCGAACTCCTTGGATCGATCGATTTGGATGATCCAAGGAGAATGACCAAACACCAAACACCAGCTTTATATTGCGAGAACAACTTCTTTTCTCTTCTGTGGCTTCCTTTCTTGTTTCCATTGGCGTGTTGACAAAAGACGAAATCATTTCAGGCAACCATTCCCTTGTATTATGTCAGCCAGCAGCTCTAGACGAGGAAACAAGGAATCAACGCAACACACTTTAACAACCCCGCCACCCTTGGTTTCAATATGCCACCTTTGCTCTCTACAGGGAAGAAAGAAGCAAGAAAAAGGGCGTTCTGCCACACACTCCTCCCCATTCAATCAAAACTTGTTAGTTGCAACAATATCCACTCTCCTTGTCTCTTCCCACCTGACCCCCCAGGCCCCAAACTTAGAAATGCTCCTTGTTTGTTTGCTTGTTTGTTATGACGCTTCAGTTTTTTAAGAGGCATTAGGGCCCTAGTCCAGCTCTCTCCCCATTCCATCCATGTCCAACATTTCAATTCAATCCAGTTCATTCATGCATTCACTCTCTCCTCACATGCTTTCTTGGCATTTATGCAGTGGTGGCAAATGCAGAGAAGGCAGCCCAGCAGCAGCAGCAGCTTCCTTTTCTCAGCTGCAGTCGTGCAGAAGAAGCCAGCAGCAGCAGGAGAGCAACAGCAGCACTCAAAGATTGCTCGCCACCTTTGCAAATTTCTTTGCAAACATGGGTGGAACTCACGTGCACAATCTCTGCTGCTCAATTCTATAGCCGAGCTCAAGTACCTTTTAAGCATTGCATGACCACAAGTTGGTAGGGTTCTGTTCGGATGTCCATGTCCGGGAACTAGATCCCTAGCATATGCTCCAATCCCAGATCTGTACGAAGAGATGCGTGCCTTTCGAAACTGGAAAGATGAGCTTGCAATGCGTAGGGCCTTTGGGCGATGGACGCAGTCAGATTCAGCTTTGGGCAAATGCTCAGATGGAGATCTCTCCACTTCACAAGCCCGCGTGTCTGCAATTCATTCAGCAGCTCGAAGGCCCACACTAGAATACAAAGCGTCAATGTTGGATGATTGAGGCAGATCTTCAAATAGCTTTGTGTATCCCCAGCTTGGCTTTGTTAATGATGATCTATCGCTCAAGGTTGAGACAAGATAAATCATCTCGCTATCTCGCGTTACTCGGGTCTGATTCTCTCTTTAGTGAAGCCTATAGATCTATCTGTTTCAAGGGGTTCTATTCCATCCCTTCTTCCAAAGTACAAAGCCCATTCAAATCCCTCGCTCGCGATCGCTAGTTATACATGTAAGGCATCATAAATCTCGCACGCACACGTCCATTTCGCCATAAGGCTGCCTTGATTTTTTACACCGCAAATATTCTACACGTTGTGTAATTGTCAACGATTTTGTTTTCCAAGCGGCAACAAACTGATCAAAGCCTGGCCAATCCGTGGCTGCCACCGCTGGTGGTTGCAAGATCGCCACCTTTCTTTTCAAGCCCCTCTGTGACATACGAATCAAAGCGTTAAAAAGCTTGCCTTTGCTCGAGTATATAGTATTCTCATATGGTTTGATCACCCAAACTAATTCGCATAAATAGTATAGAAAACGTTGGGCGATCCATCCTAGAAATTGCGAAACTTGTCCAATATAAAAGCTTTTCACAACGTGTCAATCGAGGTGTGATGGTGGGGCTGGACTCTTTGTGCTTGCTTGCTTGCTTGGTTTGCCTGCTCTACTTACATCGCTCGCTCTCTCGCTCGCTAGCTTGCCCATTTGGTAGATCGATCATCTCCGACTAGGCCTTGGTGAGCTTTCGTGGAGATCTTGACCGCGATCCCAAGTTGGCGCGGAGAATATCTAAGGCCATTCTTGAACATGTTGTCTTTCATTGTCCAATGCCCGCTGGATGTTACGTCATATACAAAACAAGCTAACAAGTCAAGAAAGAGTATAAAACTACTTGATCAAAGAAACTCCAAAAAGGTGGTGACCACCCCTTGTAGTTTCGTCACCGTGGAGAGGTGGGCTACAGAATGGGCCCCCTGATTTTGATGTTTGCTATTCGGACTAGACTAATCTGCCGCCCCTAATCGTCAATTTCACGTACAAAACCCACGCTTTCAATCATTTTTTGAATTGTCGACAGTGGTGGTGGTACGAAAAGAAGAATAATATTGCGAAACTGGGAACTGAAACAGAACATCCCCGCACCGCAAAATCTGTTGAAGCAACTTGGTATTTCTTTGTTTTGCTGTTTCCGTTTTGATGATATGTTGTTGTTTCCTCCTCGTTGTTACAGGAAACATTGGAGGGTCTAAGTACAGTGCCCATTTATTTTCATCTCCTCTCCTTTTTCTAGAGTTTTAACTCTAGTAATGATAGTTTGTGAACTTCCCTGATCCCGATCAAGATAATTCATCATCAACTTGCTTGGAGCAACTTCAACTCTATCTGGGCCCCGAGACGAAGAAAAAGAGGAATGAATATTCCGAGATTTATTCTAAAGAAAGTTTTCTGGCATGTGCCATGATGTCAAGCTTGATTAAGCCATGCATGCATGCGGCCGGTTTCGACCCCACCAAAACGTGCCGCCACCTTTCTGTATTTGTGCCAAATGTTAGACGCGTACATAACTTTGTATACATTGTTTTAGATTATGTTTTTTCATTTGCAGCCGGATTCTAGGTGTCAGGCAAATTTTGTTGAGTAACTCCTCAACAAAGCACTACACAAATTTTCAGGATTCTTCAGAGCCCAGGTGATGCAGATGCAGGTGCAGGTGCAGAATGCATTTTTTTGTATTTGAAAAAGGTATTTATTATTGTTAATTATCCATTAAAAACCTTTGGCTTGATCCAGCTTGTTCCTTGAGGAAGAAAACAAAACTAGATCTTCTCTCTCCGCTCGCGCAGTATCCCTTTGCGAAGAAATCGAATGGGCTTTGATTCCTTTTCTATTTTTTCTTCGAATTCTTGCAGCCGCAGCAGCAGCAGCGCAAGCTCGCGAGAGGTTCCTTTGTTTGACTGGAAAGTTTGCGTGCTTTGACTGGCTCCAGTCCGAAGGCTCGGGAATCTCTTGGTTCACACTGCTTGGAAGGGAAGAAAAGAAACAATTAAGAGCAGGGGGATCAATGCTCTCTTAAGGTGGTCAACCTGGGACGATCGATCTCATATCTTTTTTTCTTGGAGCCGGCCTTGAACTAGATCGATCGTAGGACTCCAGCTTTTTAAACAAATCGGTGAATGGTGAAAACGAGGCAATTCCGCTCACCCTCGCGAGAGAAAAGAGAAAAGTTGCTGTGAGTTTGAGTACTTGGAAGGGCAGCAGCTTTCTCGTCATTTGCGTGCATTGACCCAACAACAAGAGGCTTGTGATCGCCGGGAGCGAATCTCGAACGCTTAGTTTGAAGTGTTTTCAAGACGATTCGGCCAAACTTTGGAAGGATAAACGGAGGTCTGTGTGATTGCCACAAAATAGATCGATATCATCACACCATGAAAGAGTAGAAGTTTCTTTAAGATGGATCTTTGCCCCAAACCAAAAACTCTCTCGCAGGATCCAGCCCATGGATTGATCATCGCGTGATTTTCGTTTGGGAGTGCCGATCCAGAGCTCTCAATTGGCTGTCCCTCTCGCTGCTTTTCGAAAGAAGTAATTACCTCCATATACCAAAGAGCCGAGTGATGTGGTCCCTTTGACAAAGCACACACACACACACACACACACAAGCACTGTTTGCTGGGCCTCCGTGAGCTGGATCGCCCAGATGGGCGTTAAAAACTCCCACGTTACAGTGGTCCCTCGAGCGATCTCTCGTCCGTATCTACGTACATACGCCCCAGAAAACGCCCTCGTATGGCCACCTTGGTACACTGCGACTGCGCTGTCGACCGTACCGTATAGGTAGCATAGTTTATCTCTGACCGACATCGCCTTTGCTACTTCTACTACTTAGCATACTACTTTACACCTTTTTGTTTCGCTCACTCGCTCGCTCGCTCTTTCGCAAACTAGTTTTACTCGAACAGTGGTCCCCTTTTCTCTCATTCATTCATTCATTCCATCCATCATAGAAGAGAAAAGCTATTCTTCTTCGCGAGAAGCGCGAGCGACATCTTGTTAGCTTTTCTGGTCGCGGGAGCGCGACGAAGAGAGAGTTTTCCAGTAGAGCACGAGCGATCTCTTCCTCTCTCTCTCTCTCTCTTGAATCTCCCACACTTTGGTTCTAGATCGAATAGAGCAGCAGCTTAGATCACACAACTCGCGAAAAACTTGAAAGAATTGTCGGTGAGATTGAGCGATCCATCTCCACGCAAGAAGAGTAAGAACATTCCAGTGACGACCACCCTCTTAAAGATCCCTCCTTCTCTTCTCTTTCTCTCACGAGAGTAGTATAAAGCTAGGAGGATCTCTAAGATTTGATCTCGCCAGGAGCACAGGAGAGAGAGGATAGAGTCGATCTATGGTCGCGAAGCTTATCGTGGAATTGAGTAGCGCTAGTTGTAGCAGCAGCGATGGTGGAAGCGGCGCAGTGGTGGAGGAGAGGATCATTCCAGTGGCAAGGAGAGGACTCTGGTGGTATAGAGCTGGAGTATGGCCCCCCTTTTCTTTCCAGGGACCAGGAGCTCTCTAGATCGCGTCGCCACCATCGCAAAGCCATCGTGATCTTCGTCGCCGCCGTGTCGTCGTGTCGCAGATTCATGGTTGGCATTTTGGCAGGGGGCTGAGCGAGCAAGAATTTGGAGCGTAGCGCAGCGGCACCGCGAGGTCGCGCGAGGGAAGCGAGCGAGCGAGCTCGAGCGAGAATTGGGCTGGAGAAATTCTTGGGTCAGATAGTGGCGCCAGCGCGAGCGGGGCTTTGTTTTCTAGCTCCCAGTAGCAAAATCCAGTCGCGCAAGTGGTTTGGAGCTAGCTAGCTCATAGCTAGGAGGTGCGCGAGAAAGGATACCTTCTACGAATTTCTTCTTCTCCCTCGATCGGTCGAGAGGATCGAGGAGAGGCTGCAAGCGGGAGGACGACGAATTCTCTACGGAGGAATCCAAAGCTGCATGGGATGCCACCGGATTTCGTGACCCTCCTGTCCAATTCCCATCACCACCACCAGCACCACCACCACCACCAGCGCGCTGCTCCTCCGCCGCCACCCTTTCTGGGCGCCGCCGGCATTCTCCTCAATTCTCCCGGGAATTTCAAGGAGGAATTCGAGGGAGGAGGAGGCGAGCTTCTCGCGGACAAGGAGCACGACTTCCGGGATTTCCTTGTGGCCGCTGGTGGAGATCAGATGACCACCACTTCCAATCTCACCTCGGCATCGGGCGATGCTAGCGTCTCGTCTGGCGGAGGAGGAGGCGGCGGCGGCGGAGGTCATCAGCCACAGCCACTCCCAGGCGGCGGCGGCGGAGCTGCAGCAGCATCGAATGCCGGCGCCGCTGGCCAGCCTCCCGCCAAGAAGAAGCGCAATCTCCCCGGAACTCCAGGTAGATCCATCCATCCCTCTCTGGATTGTTTTATTTTGGCTGGCCATTGTTCTTGGAAATATTTGGTGTGTTCCTGTTCTTCGTGTGTTCTTGGATGGATCATGGATGGAATGGAACGCCCGATCTTCCAGTGCGGCATTAAATTCGTGGCGTGGTAATTGCAGACCCGGATGCGGAAGTTATCGCGCTGTCCCCAAAGACGTTAATGGCGACCAACAGATTCGTGTGTGAGATCTGTGGCAAGGGTTTCCAGCGCGACCAAAACCTCCAGCTCCACCGCCGCGGCCACAATCTGCCCTGGAAGCTCCGCCAGCGGACGAGCAAGGAGCCGCGCAAGCGCGTCTACGTGTGCCCCGAGGCGTCGTGCGTCCACCATGATCCCTCGCGCGCGCTCGGCGACCTCACCGGCATCAAGAAGCACTTCTGCCGCAAGCACGGCGAGAAGAAGTGGAAGTGCGACAAGTGCAACAAGCGCTACGCCGTCCAGTCGGATTGGAAGGCGCATTCCAAGACGTGCGGCACCCGGGAGTATCGATGCGACTGCGGCACGCTCTTCTCCAGGTACTCCCTCGCGATCCAATCCATTTCTTTCTTCTTCCTCCTCGCGTTCTTGCGATCTTTCTTCGATAATCTCGTCTTGCTGCTCGTTCTAGCGGTCTTTCTTCCATTCTTGGTCGATAATCTCGCGTTCCTCCTCGTCTTTCCTCGATAATCTCGTCTTCCTCCTCGTTCTAGCGATCTTTTTCCCATTCTCTCTTCGACAATCTCGTGTTCTTCCTCGTTCCAGCGATCTTTCTTGCTCGTCGGATCTTTCTTTCATTCTCTGCGTTGTTTCTCGATATCTCTCGCTCCATGGATCTTTCTTGCGTGTCTCGAGCCTTCTCCTCGAAATATCGTTCCCTGGCGCTCGATTCACCGCTCGATCATCGCCATTCCCTCGTTGTTGCTCGAAATCTCGCGTTTCTTGATTGCATGCTCATCGCTCCCTCGCGATTTCCTTTCCATGGATCGACATGACACATGCGTGTGCGCTGCTGCAGGAGGGACAGCTTCATCACACACCGCGCCTTCTGCGACGCGCTGGCGGAGGAGAGCGCCAGGATCAAGCCCGGCACGGCAGCGGCGGCGGCGGCGGCGGCGCAGCTCAATCCCAATTCCGCCCAGCCCGACGCCTCCACCGATTCCCTGCCGCCCGGCGCCGTCCCGACCTCGCCCTACACAGTCCGGCTGCCGCCCGTGGTGGATCCATCGCTCACCGGTACCCCTCCGCGATTGCCAGGAGGCGACCTCTCCTCTAGCGGCGCCTTCGACGATTTCTCTTCTTCCAGGGCGGGATCGTCATGCCTTCCAAGGCTCTCTCTCTGGCTGGGTCCCGGGCCGGGAGGAGGACCAGGGCAGCCATCCACGTCCATGATCCAGCAAATGCAAGCCGGCGGCGATCCGGAGATGGGCAGCTTGGGCCTGGATCCCTCGCACTTCCTCCTGCCGCCCAAGTTGCTATCGAGCTCGCAATTCGAGCTGGATCGTGGCGGTGGGGGTGGCGGTGGCGGCGGGTTCTTCCCGATGGCTGGCGGGGCGTTTGGAGGCTCGGGCTCCTTCTCCGACTTGATGGGCATTAGCAACCGGAGCTTGGACTCCATGGCCGCGAATTCTTCCAGCAATGGCGGTGGTGCCTCGTTCTTGGGGAATCAAGCGCAGCAGCAGCAGCAGCAGCAGCAGCAGCAAGTTCCTCCGCAGATGTCCGCCACGGCATTGCTCCAGAAGGCGGCGCAGATGGGAGCTACCGCCGGGAACAACTCGCTGCTGCGGGGATTTGGATTGGACTCGAGCTCGTTTGGATTGGGCAGCTTCTGGCAGCAGCAGCAGCAGCAGCAGCAAAGCGGAGGAGGAGGAGCATCCAGGAACGTTAGCGCCGCTGCATTGCACCACCAGTTTGGTGGCGGAGGAAGGGGAGGAGCTCTAGCGGTGGCGCAAGAACAGGGTGGCGGCGCTACCATGCATGGAGAGTTTGGAGGCTATGGCGGGATGTTCAACTGCTATCCACCGATGTTCGCGGACGTGGGTCTCGGCGGCAATAGCGCCGGAGGATTCCGGATGCTCCACCAGGATCAAGAGCAGCAACAACAGCAGGATCATCAATCCATGCTGGTGGCGGCATTGGTTCCAAAGACCGAGGAGGGATGCGATCAAGCGCAGGGGGCGCTGACGCGCGATTTTTTGGGTGGCGCCGCCGCGAGCTTGGTGGAGAGCTTGAGCCAGCAGCAGCAGCAGCAGCAGCAGCACGAGGCGGGAGAGGAGCAAGAGGAGGAGGAGAATGGGCGGGGCGATGGCGGAGATGGAGAAGAGGAGGAAGAGCTGGAATCGCTGGGCGGAGGTGGCGGTGGCGGTGGCTCGTCCGATAAGTCGTGGGATGGCTCATGATAATAAGATTGAATTGTCGTATAGTAACTCTGGGCTTTAGGGTTTACATTTGGGCGCACCCCATTAGGGCTTATTTGTCAAGTTTTTGGGCGCGATGGGCGATCGTTGCTGCTGCGGCGGCTTGTATTTCCAGGGGAATTTCTCCGCCAAGAATCCATCGATGTCGAAATCTTTGTCTGCGCTGCCCAATTCCTGGGCGATGTCTGGAGGATTTGTCTTTCGCTTCTCCGCTGGATCCAAAATCCCGGCTAGACCCTCGATCGTAGGAGCCAAAAACTCGGATATGTTGACGTCCCACGGCGCTTCTTCCACGACTTCGGTTCTCTGCAGAACGATTTGGACGTATCAATGAGAAGGAAAGAGAGTTTTGTTTTCCAGAAGTACCTGTTGGAGGCATTGAGTTCTCAGCTCCTCGGCTCGAACGGCGTTCCCGCAGCGCTCCTCCATCGCGGCCCACGAAAGCCACGCGGGCATGTTTTGCGAATCCAGGCGCAGTGCGCTCCGGAACAAAGCTCTTGCGGCACCATAGTTCTCGTCTTTGCCTTCCAAAACACCCCATGCCTGTGAGAAAGAAAGAGCAAAGTTTTAACTTCCTGCCAGACGAAAAAGTGGTCGATCATCTTACCTGGTACGTTTTCACAGCGTTCAGGTTCCTGTTGCTCACCGCTAGTGATTTTTGATAGTAATCACGCGCGGAGTCGAGGTTTCCTTCTTTCCACTCCACCCATCCCCAAGCCTGCTCGCACAGGAGAAGCAAATAAAAAGAGGTAAGAACGAGACGATGAAAGCGTACACTGTCCAACGTACCAGCCACAACGGTTGGTGCTTTGCATCGATCAGCACAGCACGCCTAAAATGCCTCCGCGCAATGTCTGGCTGTCCACAGTCGTACTCGAAAAGAGCGAAGGCTTGAAGAAGTACCACGTCTTTGGGATTGAGCTCCATTCCCCTCTGAAAGAGGTGACGAGCGCGGCCTTTGTTTCCTTCCTTGGCCTCGAAGCGAGCCCAGGCTTGCCATATGTGTCCATTTCGAGGAACTGCTTGGAGACCTCTCTGCCAGTTCACAAAAACAAACCTTCGCATCAGGAAACCTGCGAGAAAGAAAAACGAAATGACGAACCTGGAATAATTGCCTGACAGAAGCCTTGATTCCATATTCAGCTTCCATTAGTGCCCAGGCCTGTTGGAAAAGAAAATGAGTCAGAGAAAACCAAAATGAGAATGAAACGCTCCCACGCACCAGCCAGCTTGCTGCGCTCTTGGAGTTTGCTTGAGTAGCTTTTGTAAAGTACGTCCTAGCTTGCTCGATCTCGCCCATTCTGACCTCGATGATTGCCAGAGTCTGGTAGAGATACTCGTTTGGACCACAAAACTTGAGCCCTTTTAAGAGCAAAGCTCGAGCTTTTCTCATGCTTCCGTTTCGAAGTTCCAACACGGCCCAGCCATGCCAAGCTGCGGCATGCTTCTTATCTGCGACGGTGGCCGCGTCGAAAAGTGTCCTTGCTCTGGAAACATTGCCGCTTCGCTCTTCTAGCACCGCCAAAGCCTTACAAAGAAGACTTATACAACTGTGTAGAAAAAAAAAAGAAGAAGAAGTTTTGTATGTATACCTGCCAGATATATGGATTTTCACCTCGGCAAGCTTGGCAACCATCTTCGTAGAGTTTCCTGGCTTCCTTGATTTTGCCCGACTTCACGAGGGAAGTTCCCAAAGCGACGTATGCTCGACCATCATCCGCCCAGTCTCTGATACACTAAAACACGTAAAACTACTCGTGAGTGGCAGCGAAAGAAGAAAAGAAGATCTTTACCTCTCGTAGAATGGCCTCCGCCATGAATTTTTTCTTCGTCCTCTGCGCGAGCTTTGCTTTGTAGAGCAAGAGATCGAGGTTGATCTTGAGCCTCCCATAGATCCTTCCAGGCACCACGGGAGCTCTGCTAGCAGCACCGATCTCTTGGACAACTCGGACATCGTCGCTGGAGATCGATGGCTCTTCCTCCGGCTCACTCTCGGACGATTCCTCGGGCACTGCCACCACCTCCTCCGACGAATCTCCATTGCGGACGTGAGCCTCTAGCGCCTCGTCCCCAGCGGAGATGGAAGAAGTAGAAGAGGAAGACGAAGAAGATATCGCATGGGGTTGCAAGGAGCTCGAAGACTCAAACCTCAATCCACCGAGAAACGCTGGCTTTCGAGACGACGGCGATGATCCCAGCGACGCTGTGCTCGCCGAAGAGAGGCGCAATGCGATGGAATTGGAGTGCTGGAGGAACGCCACCGCCATAGCCAACACCACCGCTTAGCCACACTCACTAACATCATCCACAACGCCAAACCAGGATTTCTTAGCAACAATCCCGCTATAAGATCGAGCTCGAGTACCTCTCAAGGAGCTGCCACCATGGATCAGGAAGAAATGTGGGGCGCCTCGGCCACCGCCACCGCCATCATCATCGCGCTCCATGCCCGGGAAGATGTAGCCCTATTACTTCTTAGATCAAAACCCTAGCAGGGTTTCTAGAGCTATGGGTAGCGCCTCGTCTTTCAACAAGAGATCGATTGCGCCTACCGGCGGCGGCAGTGTGATCGAGATCCCAGGTACTAGCATCAATCCAGGGAACGAGGAATCACCATCGCCATGGGCAGAAGAAGAGAAGAATGTGGATCTTGCCGATCCCACGCTTGTTCTTCCCGAGGAATGCCTAGGGCTCATCTTCGATCGCCTCGACACGCGCGGCCGCAACGTCGCGTCGCTCGTCTGCCGCCGCTGGCTGGTCGCCGAGGCGAATTCTCGCAAGATCCTCTCGCTATCGGCGCCACTGTCGCTGCCGGTGTCGTGCCTGGAATCCAGCCTTATGCGATTTACAGTGCTCTCCAAGCTGGGTCTCAAGTGTGAGCGAGGCGTCCCTTCCATCACCGACGAGGGGCTGGTGCTCATCGCCACGCACTGCCGCCGCCTCAGCAAGCTCAAGCTCAAGAACTGTACAGGGCTCCAAGACGATGGGCTCGTCGCCTTCGCCGCCGCGGTGTGCCGGGCATCCTTTCGATCCTTCTCGTGCTGCTCGTGTGGATTCGGCTCGCGGGGGCTCAACGCGATCATCAAGAACTGCGTGGCTCTCGAGGATCTCTCCGTGAAGAGGCTCCGGATGGGTGGCGAGCCGGGGCAGCTGGTCGAGGGGCCGAGCAAGCTCAAGCGGCTGTCCATCAAGAACATCCTGGATGGCGGCCATGCTTTCACGCCGCTCATCGCGAGCTCCAAGCATCTTCACACGCTGATCATCTTCAAGGCTACCGGTCAGTGGGACAAGCTCTTGGAGCTGTCCGTGGAGGGGCTGAGCGAGCTGACGGAGCTGAGGATCGAGAAGCTCCATCTCGGCGATCAAGGGCTGGTAGCTCTCGCAAAATGCCGCAAGCTCCAGGTGCTCTTCCTCGCCAGAACTCCTGAGTGTAGCAACACGGGGTTGTCAGCCATAGCCAACGGATGCCGGTCGCTTCGCAAGCTTCACGTTGATGGTTGCTTTACGGGGAGAATCGGGGACAAGGGGCTGCTTACCGTCGGCGAGAGGTGTCCGGAGCTCAAGGAGCTCGTTCTCATCGGCGTGTCCGTCACCTCCAACAGTCTGGGAACTGTTTTTACGAACTGCATGGGGCTGGAGCGTCTCGCAGTGTGGAACAGCGAGACTTTTGGGGACGGGGAGCTGGCTTGCATCGGAAGCAAGTGCCAGGCTCTACGCAAGCTGTGTATCAAGTGCTGTCCCATCTCGGACCAAGGACTGGAGGCGCTGGCCAGCGGGTGTCCGAGCTTGACCAAGGTGAAGATCAAGAGGTGTAGGAGTGTATCGGCTTCTGGAGCTGCGTCGCTGATGATGGCTCACGACGGACTGGTGGTGACTTTGGAGGCTGATCAGGCGACCGAGGCAGAAAGGGGTCCGGTCGAGGAAGTTGTTCCTCTTGCTGTTGCTGGTGTTGCTGCTCCGAGCCGGTCGGCTTTTTCGAGAGCGAGGTCTGCGATTGTTGCTGCGTTAGGAAGAGTTCTCTCGTGATCAGGACACACAGCGAAGCACGCACGAGCAATACAATTGTTTCAGGTAGACTTGTTAGTTCTTCTTTGTGAAGCTCACGCGTTTGTCTCCGGTGTTTCCTTCAATTCAAAGATCCGTGCTTGAGTTTCGCGAAGAATAGGAGAAGAAAAGTTTAAGAAACGTAGTAGTGCCTACTAGTGGAAAGGACTTTCAATCGTGATGCTCTAAGTGGCCGGTAAGCACTGTTTACTATTTTATGTGTTGATTCCTTATTCAGATGCTATGCTCCAGAACATCCAGCGGCTTTGTCCTCTTGAGAGGAGCGCGATGAAAATTCTGGCCAAGTCCTAGGCCTCTTGGGCTGTAAGGCGTGGAGTAGTAGCAAAGGAGGAAATGGCCATTCTTCAAGCCGCTGCGCCGAGCGCTCCCTTCGAAAGATGCTGGAGGCGCAGCAAGAGAATGGATAAGGTGTTTGTGGGCTGCTTGCAAAATGGGAAATTGGCCAAGGTGCGAAGATTGCGAGTCTCATGCTCGTTGGAAGCCATGGTTTCTGATATGGGCAAAGGAGGTATAGTGAGCCACGTCTCAAGTTAGTGCTCGTTCTTGTGGCTCATCTTGTGTTTGATTTTTCTCTGCAGCTCCAAAAGGCCTTTTCCCTCCCGAGCCTGAGAGCTACACTGGACCCAAGCTCAAAGTTGCAATTGTTGGTGCGGGTCTAGCTGGAATGTCCACCGCTGTTGAACTCCTCGATCAAGGACACGAGGTAAAACCGGTCAGCATGTCTGGAAAATCCTCTCAAGTTTTGTTTTTGTTTTGTCAGGTTGACATTTATGATACCAGGTCGTTCATCGGTGGAAAGGTTGGATCATACCAAGACAAGAACGGGAACCACATCGAGATGGGATTGCACGTCTTTTTTGGTTGCTATTGCAATCTCTATCGTCTCATGTCAAAGGTTTGCTTTTTAAAGATTTACAAGCAGTGATAGTATCTTTTCAGGTTGGAGCGGATGAGAATCTTCTTCTCAAAGATCATATCCATACCTTCATCAACAAAGGAGGCTTAACTGGAGGTGTGTGCGGTAATTTCTTCGCCTCTAGCTCACTCGTCGATTTGTTTTCAGAGCTGGATTTTCGATTTCCTGTCGGCGCTCCTTTGCATGGAATCAAAGCTTTTCTCACGACAAATCAGCTCAACGTAAGTGGAAATCTGATTTCGTCTGTGGCGAAGGATTTGAAACTTTATCATTTTGTCCAGGCTCTTGACAAAACGGCCAACGCTTTTGCTCTTGCAACAAGTCCGGTTGTGCAAGCTCTCATTGATCCCGATGGTGCAATGCGGACTATCAGAAACTTAGACAAGGTAACGTAGTCGAGTTCTAGATTTTCAACAAAAGTCTGCAGCTAATAATTGTCATCAGGTCAGCTTCTCAAAGTGGTTCATGTCCCACGGAGGAACACGAGAAAGTATCAGTCGAATGTGGGATCCAATTGCCTACGCTCTGGGATTTCTCGACTGTGACGACATCAGCGCTCGCTGCATGCTCACCATTTTTGCTCTTTTTGCTACCAAAACAAATGCCTCGCTTCTTAGAATGTTGAACGGGGCTCCGGATCTTCGGCTGCACGCTCCCATCCGCGACTACATAACAAGTAGAGGTGGAAGGTAACGAGATGTGAAACTTTTAGACGATTCACGCAATACTCATTCAAGCTTGCAGGTTTCACTTGCGATGGGGATGTCGAGAAATTCTTCACGACTACACTCTGGACGGCGAGACCTTTGTGACTGGGCTCGTGATGACGAAGGTGACTTGCTCTCCTCTTTTTTCTTCCGGAAGGAGAAGTCATAGGTTTTATTTTCATCGGTTTCAGGCAGGCGAAAGAGAAGTTATCAAGGCTGATGCTTACGTCGCAGGTGGGAAGCACAAACTCGTAGTTTCTTTTTGAAGTGGCTTTATCTTCTTGTGTGCACAGCTTGTGATGTTCCTGGAATCAAAAAGCTTTTGCCAGAACAATGGCGGGAGTACGAGTTTTTCGACAAGATATACAATCTCGTAGGAGTGCCAGTGATCACCGTGCAACTACGATTTAATGGCTGGGTGACTGAAATGCGAGATATCGAGCTTTCAAGGTCGGAAAATCTTCTTCATACTGTTTGTGTAGATCTTTACTCATTTCACTTCAGACAACTCAACCAAGCGACTGGACTTGACAATCTGCTCTACTCGGCAGACGCAGACTTCTCATGTTTTGCTGATCTTGCACTAACTTCGCCAGTCGATTACTACAAGCCCGGTGAAGGATCTCTTCTTCAGTAAGTCGATTCACCTCCAATCCCGAGCTCATTGTTTTGTGAACATTTCAGGATGGTTTTGACACCAGCGGATCCTTACATGCCGCTCTCGAACGACAAGATCGTGAGCAAAGTTCATGAGCAAGTGACTGACTTGTTCCCATCATCTCGGGAGCTAAAAGTTACTTGGTCTTCCGTGGTGAAAATCGGACAATCGCTGTACCGAGAAGCTCCGGGCATGGACGCTTTCAGGCCCGACCAGGCGACCCCGATCTCCAATTTTTTCTTGGCTGGATCTTACACTAAACAAGTAAGTTGTTCCTTGTTCTTCTTTGGTCTTTCTCTTTTCTTGAGCAGTGACGGATCGATGGCCGTTTGATTTCAGGATTACATCGATAGTATGGAGGGCGCGACGCTGTCTGGAAGGCAAGCAGCAGCTCGGATTTGCGAGAAAGGATCGTTTTTGAAAGGATTAAATCCAGAGGAAGAAGAGAAGATTGTCGAGAATGGTTCGTCTTTGAGCAAGAGCAAGGACGAGTCTCCACTCACATTTGTTTAAATACCAAGTTTTAAATTTCTAGGGTTTTAGGGAAGAGCTCGATGGGATGCAGCATTCGAGCGCTCTGGATTCTCAACCAGCACCGCCATGTCGTCTTCTCCAGGTAATCGCATTTTTCTCGTTTCATCCTCCATCGATCCGATCCGGCATCGCCGTTCTTGGCTTAGGCGCTTCCCCACCGTGGAGAAGAAATGGAAGAATGCGCGATCGAAGCACGGCGATGGCATCTGCTACTCGCTACCTTCCGATGCGCAGCTCATTCAATCGTTTGTAGAGAGGAAAGAGAGGTAGATTTTTCTTCTTTCTCGATCTGGCACTTTGATTGTTTGTTTGTTGGTTTAGAGAAGGCTCGTTTCGAGGACTTGCTACTCGTGAGGAGTATTCCCAGCCTGGCTCCGACTCTTGGGTGGATGATCCGATCACTCGCTCGATCATCAGCCTCCAGATCCCAAAACCGGATGAAAGTGGCGAGTTATATCTCTTGTGGCCGATCGTGTTTCACATCCGAGGACCTTTCCACATTTTGGTTCTTCCGTTCGTGGAACCGCATCATCTGGCAACGTATGAAAACCTTTGCTGGCGAGCCGACTGTGGAGGGCCTGTTGCGAACGGGCATAATTCTCTTTCGTCGTTGCTTTTGGATCTTCCATCCATCACGGGGTAAGTTTTTCTTTGCCATGAATCTTTTCTTCTGACTTGGCTACTGATCCAGAGCTTTTTGTGTCGCGCAAACTTTGGGAGACTTGATAGTTGGAGAAGCTTTAGAGCCAGAGATCAACATCAATCCTTCGTCGACGATGGGGGGACTGCTGGACAGCATAACCGGAGGCATTGGAATAGCGAGCATCACTGCTCGAGCCAAACCAGTTGCTGCTCCTGTGGCTGCGGCGGCCACTGCGATAGCCGCTGGTGTTACTGGCGCTGCTCCGGCGGGAATACTCGGGTCGACCACCACCAAGGGAATCCTCAAAGCTTCGGACAAGGAAGCGTTGCTCGGTTTCATCACAAGTGCCATGCCTTTCGGTAAGTTTGCGAAAGTTAGTTCCATCGTTTTATTTCGTCTTTGGTTTCCAGGCACTCCTCTTGATCTTAATCCCATAACCATCAACGCCATCAAGGCAAATGGCTTCTCTGCGCAAGATATACCACCACAGGATCAGAAGCAACCAGCTTGGAAGCCATACCTTTTCAAGTCCAAGCAGAAACTCGTGTTCGCTCTTCACGAGGTGGTCACGGCTGCCTTGTACGACAGGGACGACGTTGCTGATGTTATCACGCTCAAGGGCCAGCTGCTGTGTCGAGCAGACTTGGAAGGTCTACCAGACGTAAACGTCCAGCTCTCGTGTCCAAGCTCGGGTGAGATCGACGGAGTAACATTCCATCCTTGTGCTCAAGCTCTCGATCATGGACCGGATAAGCAGACAATCACTTTCTCGCCACCTCTTGGGAACTTTGTGCTGGCCAAGTACATGGCAACGCCAGCATTCCGGCCACCTCTCCAAGGATTCTATCAGCTCTCCATGGTTTCTGACGACGAGGGCGCTTTCTTGTTCCGGATGAAGCTTTTGGAAGGCTACAAGGGCCCGATAGTCATGGAGCAGTGCTCCTTGAGCATACCGTTCCACAGGAGGACAATAGCTGCGCTGGATGGAGCTCCTTCGATGGGGACTGTGTCCAATACGGACCACTCCATTGAATGGAAAATCCTTGCGGGGCATCGCAGCACAATCTCGAAGAGCATGGAGGTGACGTACTCTGGAACTGTCAAGTTTGCCCCCAGGGCCGTGGACACGAACCAGAGAGACACAGTTGGATTCTCTGATGACGACGAGATTGACTGTGGGAACGAGAACAAGATGGACAAGGCAGACATGAATCTTGTAGCTGCGAAGTGGGAGGATCCGTTTTGCTGGGAAGCCTACAGCTACGCCAAGGTATTTATGAAAACTGAGCGCGTTAGATATTCTCTAACCGATTTCTTTTTCAATACAGGCGTCTGTAAAACTCGTCGGTGGGACAATGTCAGGAGTGTCTATCGACACTAAAACGGCAAGCTTACCTTCATTTCCATTTTATCTTCCGTGCTAAGAGCTGTCTTTCCAGGTAGCGATATATCCCACTGCTAAAGTCCCTTGCGAAGTTTCTTCCCAGGTGCGAATCGTTATCTGTGATTGACCAAAAATTATCACTTTCTCCGGCTTTGCGTACAGATAATATCTGGAGAGTACATATTTTGGAACTCCTTGGGAAGATATCCACATGTTGCTCCAGCCTAGAAAGAAAGGTATGACAGAGCCGGAGTTCTTTTCATTTTTTCTTGTTTTTCTAACGTAGCTCCATACGGAATTCTCCCTGCAGTGCGTGGCTCGCGCGAATTTGAGCAGCAAAGTTCTGTCTGGTGGAGCTGGAGCTGGAGCTGACAAGTAGCAAAGTTTGGTAAGCAAAGAAACTGTGGTACACTGAGCAATGCGCGTTTATTTTGTCGTTAAAACAGTGAAAGCTACCAAACAGCCGCGAGTTTTAGAGCCCAACAACGACACTCGAATCTCCACTCCAATTTATGATCGCAGCAATCGTCGCTCGCTCGCTCGCTCCATCGCTCAATTCGCTCTCCTGAGCAGAGAGAATGAATGGCATTGGATGGGACTATAAATCCAACGTTTCGCCATCATGGTATATCACAAACAACACGAACAAGAGGAACTCTGATAGAGAAAATCCAATCAACCATGTGGGGTGATTGTGTCTGGCAGGGAAGCTTGATTTTGACACCGTAGCCCTCAGCACGGGCGTTTCTACGTACAAACGCCCGTTGTCTACGTACGAACGCCTCCTGGCCGCCAGCGTTTCTACGTACAAGCGCTACTAGCTATGGACATTCTTGTGTGATGAGGCCAGTGTGTGTGTTGACTATAATCCATCCGGCCGAGAGTTTTCTTAAAAGAGGGGAAAAAGCCGAGAAAAAGAAGCTCTAGGTTTTCTTGTTCTTGGTTCTCTCCTGGATGAGCTCCGCCATGCCCAATTTCGTGGCGGGCCTCAAGGATGCGCTGCCCGGCGCTCCATCCGAGAATGGAGGAGACGCGGCTACTCCCGATGCGAGGCCGCGGGTGCTCATCACGAACGACGATGGGATCGCGGCGCCAGGGCTTGGAGCGCTCGTCCAGGCGCTCGTTCGCGGTGGACGATGCAATGTCAATGTGTGTGCTCCAGACTCGTAAGTGCTTTCGCTTTTTGTTTCCGATCGATTGAGCGAGCGAGCGAGCGAGTGATCGTCCAGGGACAAGTCGGGCACGGGGCATGGAATCACTGCGCGAGGCGTGCTCGAGGTTGGGGCTGTGGAAATCCCTGGAACTTCTGCCTCGCACGAAGTCGGAGGTAAGTTACTACCTTCTCTTTGCTTCTTTCTTTTCGAAAGCTTTACAAGTTTTTCTTTCTTCTTGGATATTTTTTTCTTTCTTTCAGGAACTCCTGTCGATTGCGTCTCGCTGGGCTTATCTGGAGCCCTCTTTCCATGGTCCAAGCCAGATTTGGTATGATAAAACTCTACTATCTTCATCATCTTAGTTCAACTTCCATGGTTTTTATCTTTCTTTTTTCTTTTTCTCAGGTTATTAGTGGAATCAACAAGGGCTCCAATTGTGGATTGCACATGTGAGTCTTCTATCTTTTTTTTTCTTTTTCTTTTTCTTTTTCTTTTTCTCTCTCTCTCGACTAAAGATTTTTTAATTTTTCTGTCGCCAGCATCTACTCTGGAACAGTAGCAGCAGCTCGAGAGGCTTGCATTTGGGGAGTTCCTTCTCTTTCTATATCATACGATTGGTATGCCTGCGTGTTCTCGTGTTTTCTTTGTCTTCTTTTTCTCGTCTCTTACGTGATTGTACGGCACAGGGTCAGAGGCAAATGTAAAGAGGAGGACTTAAGGCTGGCGGCCGGAGCTGTGATCCCGCTTATACATGCCGCGCTGCAAGACATCGAGCAAGGGAAATTTCCCGCGGGATGCTTTTTCAACATTGATATTCCGACCGATGTCGAGCACAACAAGGTGTTTTCCTCCATCTCCATGTTCGTGTTTGCTAAACAGTAATGTATCCTTCTCGCAGGGCTTCAAAGTCACAAGGCAAGGCAACTCAAGGCTTGGGAGCCAATGGCGAGCGGTGTCCACGCAAAGGCGAATTGCGAGCTATATGCGAGGGAGAGAGCCAGGCATGGGTGTTCAACTCGCTCAAATCGGACTAGCTGCCTCCGCCGCGGTATGTGGGCCTAATTCTTTGAATGCTTTCCTCAACGTGACTCTCACGAGGCCCATGTCAGGGGGCAGCGAGGAAGGCAAACTTTCCGTCAAAAACCGTGGAAGTTGAAACAGTAGCTGGTCCCGAGAATGGTACGCAGCAACCATCGCCACAGAAGCAACTCTTTCAGCTGGAGGTACTTTTTTCTTCTAGAGCGTTTTCAGTCATAAGTCTCACTGCGCTGTTTGGCGGCTTTTGTTGAAACAAACAGGTCTCGGAGCGAGAGTCTGGAGAAGATGACCCCGAGCTTGACAGAGGTTCTCTGGACGCTGGATATGTGAGTGTTATAAGCAAACTTGTTATACGCTAAACTCTTGTTATCACAGATAACAATCACTCCTTTGGGACTGACGACACACTTGGACGCCGACACTGCCCAGTCTGCCACAAAATGGGTGTGCTCAGCGGTGGAGGTGACAGGTTTGGCCGCATTGTGAATGCGTGTAAGAGGTACCGCAGATATGGATTTGCCTGGGTTTGCTCGGCGATTTTGCAGCCGCAGTGTTTAGCGACATGAATGAAGCAGTGTACAGTTTGATGGTCATGGACTTGTAAAGCTACACCTCTCTAACTTGGAAAGCACCGTTTTGTTTCCCTTTGGCACCGTGTTTTCAGATCGAGCTTGACGAGCAAAGCTATGTCTTTCAGCTCCAAGTAAGCGTTTGATATTTCTCGAGGTTTTGTGCTCAACACGTCTTGACTGCGCAGCTTTGGGGAATTCTACGCACTTAGACATTTAACTTTGTCAACGAAGACAATAGAGCGTTCCACTCGAAATAGTGAAAAGATCATGAATCAAATCCGCGGGTCCTTGAAACCTTCAAAGGTAAGCTCCATCTTTGTTTCTCGATGCTTATAGTGCGTTTGAGCTAACACTTTGTTGACTAGCGATAAGATTCTCCCCAAACATTTTTGTTTTCTCACGCGTTTTTCTTTAACAAAAGTAAAAGATTGCAATCCCCATCGATGTTACAGTGCGGTCACTGAGTGTTCCATCTTGTTCAGGACACTGGAGCTCCGGCTGCGTGAAACAGTCGTTGGGGGAACACTGGTGGTCCAAGAAATTTTCTCCCGGAGGGAGTTTGTAACAAAAAATGGAAAGTGTTATACCCAATTCTGAGGCAAATCTTTGGCATTCAATGTTAAAGGATTTGATTGATTGAGTGATCTCATCTCGAGGAAGCATTGTAAGTTGCATTGTAAGTTGTGTTGTGGTCAAACTCGTCCTGCGCGCCCAGCCCAGGGAATAAAACTTTGCCATGCCTGATTGATCTTACCAATGGAGTTTTGTAAAAGGATCGGGAACTTTGCCAAGCTGCAGCTCCATTATTTCCATCCTCAACAACACATGAGAGATTGTGCTTGCAAGCAGCCATTATTCTTGCTCCAGGAAGATCGCATCCGGAAAGCTTTATCGATCAAGTTGAGGACGTCACCCAAAAAAAAAAAAAAAACAAAACAAAAAATCATTCGCTAGAGATCTATCACGCTTAAGCTTGTGGACCCAAAGCAATGCAAGTGGAAAAAGAAAACTATTTTTCGAGAAAGAGAACAATGACCCACAACACATCACAAAAAAGTTGGCCAACGATTTGCATAAAAAAGGTTGTGAAACTAAGATTCCAAAAGAAAGGTGGCGGGGCGAGAAAATTAGGGCGTGACATGTTGCCATGTTCTTGGGGCGTACGTGTGCAGTGTAGTGTGTGTCGGTGGATGCGAGTACGGCGGGAATTCACAAACCCTAATTTTCTCCCAATTCGTACTGCAAATTTTTTTCTTCCATGTGCATTCAAACGGAGGCATGGCCTATTTAAAACGTTAACGTGTTGCTGCAAGGAAACAAAAGCCCTAAAAATGCATCGGTCGCGAATATGCCCCCTATAACTGTCCGAGGAATATACCATCTGTTGCCGGTGGCCAAATATAGCCTGACAGGATGTGGCGCATTTAAACTCCGCCCCTGCCACGTGTGCCCCAGGTAGAATATGCCCGCCGGCGCGGAATATTCCGTCTTCGTCTTCGTCTCCGACAGATAGAATGTGGGTGCAGCGCTGACGGGCGATGGAAGAAAACGAGGATAAAAAAGAGTGGTTTTTTTCCCTTTCTTTTTGCTGCTGTGTGGGTCGGTGACTGAGACTTGTGGCCCGATTCTCGCAACAGATCCATCCATTTCTTCCGATTTTGCTTTACAAAGCTCTCGTCTCTCTCTTGATCAATCGCCAATTTTGCGTGTAGCGATGGCGCGTTGCTAATTCCCATTGCCTCCCGGGTTTGTGGGATTGGATTGGGTTTTTCCTGGGTCCTCTCCTCGCTCTCTCTCTCCTCTCCACTCCTGGATCGACCTTTGGACCACAAATCGAGGAGGAATCCCACCACGCGCTAGAAGAGCTCTCCAGTTGGAGTGGTCTCGTCTCTCTCTCTCTCCTCTCTCTTCTCTCTCCTCCCTTCTCTCTCTTTCTTTCCCCTCGAGCGCGAGCCGGCGCGTCCTTTGTCTCTCGCGAATCCAGCTCTTCTTCTCTAGGATAGCTAGCCGCCAGCCCAGCGACAGTGAGCTCTCATCCCGTCTTCTAAAAAGCTCCGCGAATCCCTTCCATCTGATCCTAGGCTTCGCATTTTCGCTATCTCCTCCTCCTTTGCGTTTGATCGATCGGTTCGAGCGATCGGCAGCAGTGGCGGAGGAGATTGCGTGTTGGTGGCGCTGCTATCATCAAAATGTAATCTTCCCCACGGATTCTTGCGGAATTTGTGGCAGCCCTCTCCCATTTCTCTTCTCTTCCTCTCGATCTCTCTCGCTAGAGCTGGAGCTGGAGCTGGGTAAGTGGCCTTGGATCCATTCGCGAGCTATGGACTGATGGATTGACTTTCCCCTTTGCGTCCGTGCGGCAACAGAGGATGGATCCCAGTGCGGTGCTCGCCAATGTGTCGCAGCTGATCCAGATGCTCATCCTGGTCGGCGGCGGTGATGGGGGAAAGAAATCGCGGCCGCGCGGCGACTGGCAATCCCTGGCACAGTGCCTGGGGCTGCTGATGCCCATTGTGGAGGAGTGGAAGGCGCTGGATTCGTCGCCGCTGCTGCTGCTGGAGCTCGCGCTGATCAAGGCCAAGGAGCTGCTGCTGGATGGCGGCGCCGCTGCTAGGAACAGCCGAGTGTTCCAGGTACCGCTCTAGATTTCTTGGTTCTCAAGTTTTTTAGGGTTCTTCGTTCTCTCCAGGTGGTGTGTTGCGAGGAGATTGCGAATTGGTTCCACGAGATTGCCACAATGCTGGACGAGGCTTTGCGTAGCATGTCCATGGATGGATTCTCGGACCACGCCCAAGCACAGGCAAGCTCCTCACTTGAGTTCTTCTTTCTTGGAGAGAAAACAAAGGTTTCTAGTATAGTGTTTGCGTGGAACAAAGGTGAGAGTCTTCCAAAGAGCTTTGCCTCTTATTTTACTCCGCTCGAGGAGAGGAGCTCCTCGCAAAATCCTTCTTTTTTCTTCGTCTATTCGCAAGGTGGCGAGCTCGTTTCGAGGATGATTGATGGTTTTTCTCTTTTGATCAGGCAATGCTGGCGCTGGAGCAGCTGCGAAGAACAAAGTTCCACCCCGACATCTCGGATCAAGTGCTCATGACCCAGATCGAGCTGCTACTCGCGGAGATGCGAGACGAGCA